GGGGAACGGAAAGGCGGACTCATTGCCCCCTTTTGGTTGCCTCCCCCCTGGCACAAAAACTGAGCATGTCCAGTCTTCTCAGACGCCTGCCTCCCTCAGTGCTCATGGAACTTCCTGCTGACTCATGCATACTCTTCAGCGCGCTTGCCAATCCGCAGCGTGTCAGTGTTCACTCTTGGAGTGACATGCCTGTGGAGGCCATCCACCACGCCTATGCTCAAAAGTGCCTGCCCTCTCAGTGACACCAAGTACAATCCCCGCCGCAATGCGACCCCTCCCACAGTCACATACATCTTGGAGACCGACAAGAGGAAGCAAGTCACCGTTCTCAAGGACTTACTGGCAAGATCACACACCAATTGGGCCTACTCCATGGTAGTGACAACATCCAACATCATGGCAACGCATTTGGCTCACTTTATCAACACCTTGTACATACACCTCATCAACCAGCCCCACTACAACAGGGGCAACAAGCATGAACAGGGCCAAATTGTCAACACGCAACTCCCCAAGGCCGCCAACGCCATCATGAAAGTCAAACAAGACGCCAAGGGCTCGTCGGACAAGCGCTACCTCATCGTGTTGGACGGCCTGTGGCCAGAGGTCTTTGCCACCGGAGGAGGTCAGCTTGTGCTCATCAAGAGTGAGCTCCTGCCTGTGGATGTCTACCTCAGCGGCAATGGCAAGGGCATGCCAGTGCAAGGTGCTCTGTGCTGCGACTGCGCAATCGGCAGCGACGTCAACAGGTTGGAACATGCGTTCCACATGGAACTCGACACTGTGGTTGCCTACGCCTTGTTGGAGTGCCACGATTATCTCGCTCTGACGAACCTGGCAGACCGCAGCAAGGTCATGCCACTTGCCTACAGCCCGCGACCAGTGCTCGCAGGCGAAATGTACATAGGTTGCGACGACGCCCAGGTCTGGCACTGGTTGTTTGGCAAGAAACGCAAAGCGTATGTTGCACTCACGCAACAATAAAGTCTGGTTACTCGACCTTAACAGAGCACGTAGACGAGAGAGGGAACGGCCACACCCACACACCACAGGAAAATAGAGGGAGAGAGGAAAAGAGTTTGCGCTGTCAGACAAGGCTTGGACGGACAAGGATAGGGAGCAAGGAGACAGCAACAACACAGCACAGTCATCCGTTCGTGGCACCACAAACAGCGCCCAACCCTAATTGCGTCCCACATGTCCAAGGTCACTCCCGAGGCGCCGTCGGCCCAAGACCAACATCTCTTCAGGGGCTTCGCCAACTCGTTGAACGTGGATTTTACCCGACCCGTGGACGAGATCAGTATCAGCAGAGCCGCGACACTTGCCAAAAAGGCGGATCAGAGTAGCACCCCTGTCGACGATGCCGCCGTCGCTAATGGCGAGGCGCAAGCCACGGCAGACAAGACCTATGACCCGTGCATCAGCGAGTGGCGTTCGCGAGCCACGGTGTTGATCGGAGGCACCGATGCCATGCTGCGCGATTTGCTGGCAAGAGCCGGCGTGGAGTGGGAGATCGCCACGCTGGTGACAAGTTCGCCCAGTGCCGTCTGGCGCTGGGCCGATGTCACCTGTTCGTCATGCACCCTGACTGCTGTCGCGAGACGGAGAGACCAGACGCCCTTGGGGGAAGTCAGAAAGAGGCACCTCTTGATACTGGACCGCTTGGACACGCGTCGGGTCCTCAAGTTGGCTGTCTTCACCAGGCTGATGAGGCTCCGCGAGGATTTGGCGCTGGACGTCTACATGACGGTCAACGACGCGAAAGACAACGATATGAATTTAGCCGCCTTTCACACTGCGCCCAACATCAAGGGTGAACTCTCGGAGTCTGACGCGCGCGACCGCCAGCCCGATGCAATGGGCACCATGCCTACGGCCAACGGCCTTCCCTACTGGCTGCCCAAACAACCGCCACCTTTGCCGCGCATCGGCAACCAGGGCGTGTAGACGCTGCACTGGTTGTTTGGAATGCAACGCACCTTGCATGAGGCTCACCCCTTCGACACGATCCCTGCCCTGGCCAAGTTCACCCCACGGAGGGAGTGTAGGTTTTTGGTTGTTTCTTCCCACTGGGCATGAACAGCGTTTTTGCGTGGCAGGCGATTTTTGACGGAAATTGATGTGCCAAGGTAAAAGCGAGGAAAACACCAGAATTATGCGTTCATCTCAATCGAGCAGTGTGGTGACCTTAAAGACAAGTCGACTCAGCAGTTGCCCACACTTAGTCTGCTCCAGACCACACCAGACGCCCGACTGCTGAGAGAAATGGAAGACTACCGCGACGCCTCTTCTCACATGGACCACGATGACGAAGATGCTGGTGTAGATAATGTGTCTGTCGCCATGGCGTCGGCACACACGTCCGCGGAGCACGACGTTGATATCGACCTTGAAGGGGTGGAGGACTTCGCCCTTCCGGAAGACGTGGACCATCGCCGCAACCGCCTCAGCACTCCCTCGCTTGATCTGCACATCGACCTCTCCGTCATAGAGAAGTCCGAAGACGACAAGGTTCGCGAGACGAGGGGTCTGATGGAGAGGATGAGCGTGCTGGAAGACGAAGATGGAACCATGTGGTCTGCATCTTCTTCTTCTTCTTCTTCTTCGATCTCCAGCGCAGCGACCGAGGAGAGCGATGTGTTCAGCCACAGCGGGCGTCGCACTCGGTCTCGCAGCCACGGCGGTGAGCAAACGTACCGCGACCGCAAGAGACCCAGGGATGGCGCCGCAACGGTCACTGCCACACCGTCCAACAGCAGACACGAAACAGAAGAGGAGGAGGAGGAAGAGCACTCGCGCCACAGCCATCCCAACCACAGGGACAGACAGCGCCACCGCGCGCCGCGCCGTCAAGATCATAATTCGGCCCCGTCGACTGGCGATGCTTCACGACATTGCAAGCGAGCGCGGCGTGCCTCCAACCCGGAAGAGAAGAGGTCCAACAAGCAGCCAGCACGCCAGCGCGCAGCCAACCACAGGCCCCGGCGCAACAGGAACCGCCGACGTGGCGCCTCTCCTTCTCTGCGCGCCCACAGACTTGATGCTGGTTCACATGAGAGGGCCGAAGAGAGGAAGGTGGACCTGACGCCTTTGGACGCCCTCTTGGTCGGGCACCCGCCAACGGGCACCAGTTGGCGAGTTACGCGCTACCTGCCCGACGGCCTGGCCGACCAACACCATCACCACCACCGCTATCACCACCACCTGGAGGTGAAGCGTGTCACATACGACGCCAAGGTGGCCGTGGGCAGGTATATCGACGACGTCGAGGCCGCGCTATCCTCGCAGGCGCGTCCCGACATGGTGGCCGCGGCCATCTCCTCGGCGCTCAAGGTGTCGGCGGCACTTTCGGCCTCGCTGTCGGCCGTGCTCGACAGCGAATCGGCCGACTCGCTCGTGCGCTGGCTCGATGTCGTGGACCGCATGGCGCACCGGCTCTACGGCCTCCTGGCCTCGCCTCACGCCGCGACGCTCTCTTCCATGTGGAGGAAGGCGCGCCTCGCCTCTCGCGACGACCAAGCCGAGGGGGACGCCAAGATCCTCTGCTCCGACGCCCACCTGCCCGCCTTTGGCTGTCTTGTCTCCCCGTTTGCCTTGGCCGACGCCATCTCCAGGACCGCGAACGGCTGCTCCGAACTGGCCCTCCTCGTCGCCGACAGGGTGCTCTCCATCGAGAGGGCCGCCGTCGCGTTCGGCTTGGTGCCGCCCTCGGAGGGCAACTACAGCGGGCGCCTGGAGCCCTTTGACAAGGTCTTTGCCCGCCAGGCGCGAGTCGGTCTCGAGTCTCTGGACACCGCCACGAGTGGACGGCTCGCTTCTCCCGTCGCCTATCACTACGCCAGCACCTTGAGCGACGATGACGATGACGACGCGCCCATCGACGACATCCTGTCTTGCCGTGTCATAGCCTCGCGACTTGCTCTCGTCGCCTGCCTGGCCTTCAAGTGCCCCGAACGCCGCAACATCGACGGCGACAGGGCGACATTCGCTCCCGCCAGCGTGGAGCTCATCAACGCTTGGCTGTCGGCTGACTACCTGAAGGTCCTACCGCTCCCCAAGGGACGCCACGCCGACCGCGACACCGGAGCGTGGATCGACCATCCCCTCATGGTGGCAGCAGTCGCCTGCCTTCGCGAGGCCCCGCAACGGACCTTGGAGCCAGCGCGCGCCGCCATCGCCAACGTCGCTCTGTCTGCGCTGTCCAGGGCTTGCCGGGAGTGGGCCGAATGCCGCGCGGGGTCTGAGGCTCAAGCCACAGAGCACCATGCAGCCTATCCATTCCTGCACAAGACGGCACGGCACATCCTGTGGCTGGTGCTCGACCACTTGCTCCCGGAACTACGCAACGCCAGCGCCAGCGGACGGGCACTCACCGATTGCGCCAACGACACCATCCGCAAGATCATTTGTGGATCTGGTTGGCTGGCCGGTTCCACAACCAGCCAGGCCCCGCTCTTGGAACTCATCAACGACTGGAAGGTCACTCGAGCGGTTGAACACGGGCAGGCACTGGCCGAAGAGACCACCAAGGCCTTCTTGCGATTTCGTCGCGCCTGGGGAGTGGACTGGATGGCTTCCAACGCTTAGTGCCTCAGTAAAAGTTGCCCTATCACCTCGGATGTATGGGAGACAAGTTTCCTTGTGCGCAACACACCACCTCGCGATCCAAACCCATCCAACTGCCCAAATGTGGACCGAGGTCTCAACGAAATGGACGCTTTCTAAAGCCTTGCGCCATTCTTCTTCATTCTTCTCCCGCAGTCTTGATATGTTGAAGAGAACCATGGAAGTGTCCATAAAGTTGAAGGTCGGTGGGACTTTCTTCGAGACTACTCTTGCTTCCAACTGCAACAATCCACTTGCTTACTTTGATGATTGTTTTGATTTTACGAACCAACCGCACAGAACGCCAACGTTGGTTGTGCTTCAAATTCCCACTTGCTTCTGGGCCGCGGGGACAAGGTTCCACCGAAAATTCTGCGCTGTATAGTTCTACCTTGACTTCGGTGCCCGGTAGCGTCTTGGCGACCATGTTTGGTGAGTCATGGCGACGAGAGGAAGAAAAGGTCCACTTCTTTGATGCCGATCCAACGATCTTTGCCGCGATCCTCAACGCGATGAGGCGGGGCCATCCAGCAGATGAAGTGTTCAAGCCCGTCAATAAAACAACGGCGGCGTGGGAGAGGGAACTCGATAACTGGGGTATCGTCGCGCCCCAACCCACCGCCTCGGCCACGATCTCCCACAAGGCGAGGCGCACCAGGGACTGCGCCAGGCTCGTGTGGCTTTGGCTAAGGGGGGCTCCCCCGTTCAAGCCAAGGGACGACAAACCATTCGAGGTCAAACTGGCGATGCGGTACTGCGATCTGCGGTCGATGATCTCTATGCCGCCCGCCAGCACTTATGGGTGGAGGAGGTGGAGGAACTGCAGGGGAAGGAACAAAAGCCTGAGTCATGAAGATGAAGGGGACTACGACGGAACGACAGACGACGATTCAGACTGTGGCGTCATCATTGACATAGCGAGGTGGCTGGAATCCATGGACAACAGACTCGCCGTGACCGATACAGCGGCCAAGCATGGGAGCACACTTGTCTGGCCGGAGTGGGTGGAACCGGACAGTTCGGCTGGAAACTGCTGCATCCGCGAATGGACCAAATCAACCACAAGAGACGAATGACCAGCAGGTGGAGAATGGCACCGAGGAGATCTGGTGCAAACCACCATAACAGTTATCCCAGTGGCACTGATTTAGCATGCAGGCACAGAATGTCATTCATTTATCTCACTGGGCTTGACTTGGCTGCGCGGCTAACCCCCCCCTAAGCCGGCTCGGCGACTACGCAATGACCCGTCGGTAGAATCGACCCGTTAGTCGGACTCCTTCACGCTTTCATGTTTGTAGCGCGTCGGAAACAGACCAAGAGAGTAATATTCGGGCCGTGAGTTCACTTAACGCTTCCGTGTAGAAGAGATGGACGGCGTTTTGGCGCACATTATGCGTCTTGATCCTTGGCCAGCCCGCGTCAAGGTTTGTGGATGCCCACAAACACCGAAAGACCGACATTCCAAAACAACCACCAGATCATGAAGCGCACCAGCCGCGTCGAGTGGGACGACTACTTTATGTTCGTAGCCCTCCTGTCGGCCCAACGCTCCAAGGACCCTCACACTCAGGTTGGAGCCTGTATCGTCAACCAGGACAAGCGCATTGTTTCCACGGGTTACAACGGCTTCCCGCGCGGTTGCGATGACGACATCTTCCCCTGGAAGCGCGAGAGCGCGTGCGAAGACATCCTCGACAGCAAGTCGCTCTACGTGGTCCACGCCGAGCTCAACGCCGTGCTCAACAAGAACGCCAAGTCGGTCAAGGGCTGCACCATCTACGCGCCGCTGTTTCCTTGTTGCGAATGCGCCAAGGCCATCATCCAGAGCGGCATCTCGCGCGTCGTCTATCTCACCGACGGCGGCAAGGCCCCTCTACCTCGCTATGTGGCATCGCGCAGGATGCTTAGTGCCGCCAAGGTCAAGTGCGTGCGGCACAAGCCGACGAAGCAGACGCTTACGCTGACTATGGATGGTGGCGGCCACGACTGGCAAGTGTCCGCGCCCGATGAACAGACAATCCTGTCCACATTCAACTGCTCCCTCGTTTTCCTCGTCGTCGCTCTTCTCATCCTTGCTCCCTTCATCCTTCTGTCTCTCTCTCTATCTCCCACTTGTGTAACATAATGTGAATACATATGCCATTACTTCCACCCAAGTTGGTACCCGTGCGTGTTTGGTGAAGTGTTGGCAATGACCGACCATGCTCGTTGCCTTCCCGGCACATGCGACTCTGGCGGAAAGCATGCCACCCAAGAGACGAGACCTGAGACGGGGTGACGTGTGTGCCTTTGGGTTTGCATGCAACCTGAAACAGTCTGCCTCCAAACCGTCGAGCGAACCACATCCTGTGGCTGCAGACGAACGAGATGCAATACACCAAGAAGAGGCCTCTCGCTGGATGGACGACAGGAGGATCGTCGCGCGCCCCCGTGTTCGTAGAGACCGCACAGCAGTGCCAACGATCAGCCTTGTCCTTTCGACGACGCTCGGCATCTTGCTTCCCTCCTGTTGTCACCAGTACCACCACCACCACTCCCACTACCACCACCATCAGTGACACCGCCGTGGGGGCGGCGATGGTCGCCACAGCCGATATAGACAACCAACAGCAGCAACAGGGTTCTCCCAAACGCGCCAAGTATTCCTCTACTCACGCATCCCCGCCACCACCTCCTCCCTCCTTTCCAAGCACCACCACCACCACCGCCACCACGACAACGGCATCTTCTTCCTGCCAGGCGTCCTCTCCGCCCGACGACGAGCACCCACAACACCACCAGGACAACGAAGAGGATGATGACAACAACGACGACATCGGTTTGTGTCTCGCGGAGGCTTTCGCCATGGGTGCACCGCATCCGCCACCGCTCTCTCGACTAGACAAACACGGCATGCGTAATCACTTGCTGCGGTTTGTGCTGCTGCAACTCGTCAGCGAATACGGCTACGTGCGCGAGGCGCCCGACGAGAACCTGGACGACATCATCACGCCCAGCCGAGCCATGAACTTGGCCCTGGTTTCATTGGCCGCAACGTCCCTGAGAGATAAGGTCGTCGCGAGCCAACTCCCTGGCGGCGGCGACCGTCTTGCGGAGGACAAGGTGTGGATACTGTGGAAGAAGATCGTGCCTTGGTTGGACGAGGCTGAGTTTGCCCGACTTGTCGCAGCAGCGTGCTCCAGTCCTCGTGCTGCTTCAGAATCACCATAAAAGAGCCTCCCATCCTTCTCCCCCCAATTCCTGCGCGGCTCCTTGTCTATTGTTCCCCGTTGTCGTCGCTGCATATCCAACAACCGAGCGTCCCTTGTGTAGACCACTTGACCGGGGTCATGACCAGAGTTGTTAGTGCCTCCGGCGAGTTGCTAAAAAGGCGCGTCGCAGGCTGCCGAGAAGGAAGGGAGTCACTTTTGCCTCTTGTTTTGCGCTCCCCACGTTTGCGTGCTCGTCTGGATCGGGAAAGGCGCGACAAGCCGCCATGCCCTCACTCGCGCCAGGTGGCCACCGAGACGACACTCACCTCGGGTTCGTCCTCGGATTCGCAGTCAGCATCATGGACCGGCATGTCGTAGGCGCGCCACTCGCCAGCCGTGGTGCAGTCGACCCAGTCAAAGAGGACGTGAAAGATGGGCGCGTAGTGGTCGCGCTCCATGTCCCTGTGGTGTTTGTCGTCGGCAAAGGCCACCTTCACAGACGCCGTGCGGCGCGCGTTGCCGAGCCGAGCCGCGATCGGCAGGGAGAGCATAACGACGTGCGGTCGGTCGGTCATCTACAGCAGCAAAGAGTGGATCAAGAGGGGTGGCGAGTTGAGACTTTTGGGTAAGGGAGTTAGGTTTGTTGTTGGCGGAGACGGTCCTTCATTCTCTTTAGGTTGTTGTTGTTTTCAGAGTCCCAGCGCGATCGCGCTCGAGAGCCTTGGTGGCTTTGGCCGAAACGTCGCTGAGGGACAAGGTCGTCGTGAGCCAACTTCCAGGCGGCAACGACCAAAGGGTGGACCCTGTGGAAGAAGATCGTGCCGTTAGGCCTAACGCTCAACTTCGGGAAGGGCAAAGTTTGTGGGTGGTCAAACTCATGCAATTCTACACCCTTCGGGTAGTTTTTTAAAAAGAAACTCTTTTCCTCGCCCTTCTCCCTCTGCCTCGCCCCATCTCCGTCTGCAACACCGCGACGATGGATCAGCAGCGTTGCGGCATCCTCTCGCTGCCACTGGAGGTGCTGACGTGCATCGTCACCCCGCTCGGCATGGGCGACTACCTCAGGCTCTCCTTGACGTGCTTGTTCGCTCGAAACCTGCTGGTCAAGGACGCTTTGTTGTGGAAGGCACACTTGCGAGCGAGGGACTGCAAGGTCTTTGGTCGCACGCTCAATCTCTTCAACCCCGTCAGCGACGTCATGCTACTCCGCGAGAGTCCTCATCTCTTGTTCGCCTACCACAAGACCAGCATCGACCGGCACATCGACCTTCTCGTCACTTCCTGTCTCGCTGTGCAGGAGCGTCTCATGACGTCGGTCTCCTTGGACGAGAGGAACCGCTGCGTTTCGACCCACAAGGTCTTTGGCGGTCGCGCGACCAACGCCGCAGCCACCAACCAGCCCAAGACGAGGAAGAGGAAGAGGACCGACGCCCCCGTGAAACGCAAGAAGAAGAAGAACGACACCGACGGCGCCGCGAGAAGCGAGATCGTCCGACCGCCGCCCGAGGTGTGGACCGGACTTGCTACGACGGTCCGCACGCTGCGTATCGTTCTGGTCGAAGCCGTGGCAAGGGCACTGCTACATGCCAACGGCCCTCTGCTGGCCTATTGCGCGAGTGCCGTCACCTACCTCACCGAGATTACGTGTCGCGCCTACGGCTTGCACGAACCGTCAATCGGCTCCGCGATAGTCGCAGATCCGTGCCCAAAAGGCCACAACGACGACATCTGTACCAGCGCCGTCGCCACGGCGCCGCCATCGCCACCACCTCCCTTCGCCGCCACCGCCTGTTGCCACTCGGCACAGTGGCAATGTCGACTGCGAGCGGCGTCCAAATCGAATCTTGTCGAGTTTCCCGAAACCGGCCATGGCCTGGACGACTGCCGCGCGCACCACGCCAGTGACGAAACCCGGATGCAAGTGCTGGACTCGTCAGAGAACCGACAGTGCGCCCGCGACAGCATCCGCGAATGCTCCCTGTGGGCGCTGTCCTTGCGCACGACACGCCGCGCGCTCGCTTCCAAGCCAGACGAGACCTTCCTCTTTGGCGTATCGCGCAGCGTCGAGCCCCTCGCGCGTCTCAGCGAGAACCGGGTCGAGTTCGACATGTGGGTGCCCTTGTCGTGGCTCGCGGCGATAGCGCACTACCACCCGGCCGCCGGAGCCACTGCCGTCGTCGTGTATGACACCATGCGCACGGGTTTCTCGACATCTGGCGCAAGTTCTTCTTCCCGCCGCTTCAAGAGTCTACTCCTGCCATCAAGAAGGCCCTGGTGAGCGCGATCATGAAGCACATGGACGACGAGGGCGCCGTCGTGGCGGTGCATGATGGGGGACACTGTCAAGTGCACGGGCAGCGGCGGATTCATACACAACGTCGACGTCAGACCACTGCACGCCGCGGCTGCCGCGGCCCTGCCCGTGACCTCGTCGATGTCCGACGCGTGGGAGCAAGCCATCGAGTCCAGGGTGACGCCACAGTGGTGGGGGGAGTTAGCACGGACCGACTTCCTGCTCGTCTTGGACAGCATAGTGGACTCCTTGCGCTACGTGCTCATCCGCATCCAGGACGATCCTGACCCTTCGCTCATGAGGGCCAACGCACCCCTACACGCCTGTCGTTGTGCCCTGACCTACCTGGTCCAGGCGTACGGCCAGGTTCTGCCACTATCAACCCATGGCAACCCTCGACCCCTCGCCCTGGCTGTCGCCCACGCCTGCTCCCTCCCCGGCGGCCTGCATGAGTACCGCGCTCCCGGTGTTCGAGGCCCATCCCTACCTCTTCGCGAACGTAGTGTACACGAACGACCGACAGCAGAGGGGCATCGTCGATCGCTACCTGTACAAGCGCGACTCTTACGTCACCGGCGCCGCCAGATGTCCTCGATCGGATCTCGATGCCACGCACGCGCAGATGATCTTCTGGTCGTGGGTGTCGGGCCTGCCGGAGCACCTCGTCGGCCGCTTTCCCAAGAACTTGATCGAGAAGGCGCCTCTCTACCTCGCCTCGGCCTACGTAAGACGCCAAACGTGTCTGGCGTGGTACGGCATGCCGGACCCTGAGTTGTCGAGCGTGCACCCCCTCATGCACAACTGCCCCGCCGCCGTCGCCAGCCCGCGCAAGAGGAAGGCCTTTGACGACATGTCGCGTGCCCTGTGCGACCTCGTGGCCGACAACGACGAAGACCACCCTCACCCTGATCTATACGCCCCCACTTCCTTATCTAAATGTCCATAAAGACCATCATTCCTTGTTTCCTCCCTCTCCCGTGTGGAGTGCATGAAACCTTGTTGGGCCTACCTACTGTGGGCCTCTCACGGAGGGCAATGGGTGGGAACTGAAGTGATTGTATTGTCTGGCGGGTGGGACAGCACCCTCTCTACGGGTCATGCTCCTACAGGGTCGAAACATTGGCTGGTGAGTTCCAGCGACTCGCACAGCCTGTTGATCCAGTCTGGGCTTGGGTCAGTGATGCTGGCGCCTCTCAAGGAAACGGCCATGTGCTTGAGAAGGCTGCGACACGCCATGTTCTTGCTGAGGTGCTTGAGGCCCTCCGTGTAGATGTGCTGCAGGCTCTCTGTCGACAAGAGAGGAACAATGCTGTCAATGGCTTGTGGACTGGTCCAAAGGTCTATTGTGGAGGAGACAATGTACTTGAGGTTCGGTGTGCTGAGGCAATCTGGCCCCAGCGTTTGGCCCGCAAGCCAGGCAAAACATCTGCTGATGATGATGCAGATGGCTTCAGTGATGACTGGGTCGTGGGGCTTTTCATCGTTTTTGGTGCCTGACCTGTTGTACTTCAGCAGAATGTGAAAGCAGGTGTTGATCAGGCGCTTGACGACTGAGGCGTTTGTGGCCACTATGTTGCTCATGGAAGCCCACAACATGAGTGCCTGTGCCAGTTGCTTGGCGTCTTGCTTTTGTTCTGTGGTGTCAGTGATTCTGCTGCTGAGGGTGACCTGCTCCAATAGGAAGTGGCCAAACAGAGTGAGGTTGCCAGGATCGCTGCTGGTGACCTGGGCAGAGGGACATGTTGCTGCAATGAGGGTGTCTGTGTGGTGAATGAACATGGCGCACAGATGTGAAGAAGAATGGAGATCATGCGCAGAGGGGCAACATGAGTCAGGGGAGGAAGCGAGTGTCCTGAGCGAGAGCCATGAAGCCTTGATCATGGTGAATGTGTTGCTGCAAGAATGGTTGCTCTTGCTGTATGCCTTGGTGATGTTGTGTGATGTGTCCCAATCTCACTTCAGCCAGTGGAACATGGCACTGTTGCAGAGAGGGTCAACCCAAGCCTCAGCAATGAGGGACTCAGACATGTGCAGCAGCCTCGCTGCACCCTGGCTGAAAGGGAAGGAGAAGATGGCCGCATGGGCAGCCTCCCAGAGTTTCTGGAGATGGGAGGAGTGACTGATGATCATGTTGAGAATTGTGCCCTGGCAGTTGTGTGCCCACCAAGACGATGTGGTGCTGGGAGAGTTTTTGCACTTGGAGTAGGCTTCAAATGAGGCAATGGTGGTGATCCACATGGTTCCTTGGGCTTGGAACGCCTTGATGGCATCCAGTGTCTGGTGGACTATCTCAATGCTCTGTCCATAGAGATGGTAGGATGAGAACCATGTGTGGCTGGGCTTGACCATCAGTGTTGTGTGCTTGGTGACCTTGGCATCACCGCCCAGTTGCAGGTCGAATTGCAGGTGGGCGCTCAGCACCCAGGGCATAACCTCAGCCATCAGCCCGCCACCATTGTCGCCAAAGAAGCACACATGGAGCGGTTTGCTCACCACCAGCACATTGCACAGACAGCATGGTGGAAGCAGGGACAGATAGTGAGTGGTAATGGCTTTTTCATTTGAGAGGAGCACATGAAGCAAGCACCACTCACTGTCATCATTGTCTACATCTATCCTGGCTTTCTTGTTGGCAGAGGTCTCTTGTTGTGGGTTGGGGAGTTTGTCTCCACCATTGTTGTTATCAACATTGGCCAAGGCACACTTCATTGCTGAGTTGACTGATCACTGTTGCACTCACAGATGAGATGTGGTGAGTCAAATAGGCAGGAGCAGAAGATGGCACTTGCCTCAACACCAATATGAAGCCCCTAATCACCAGAGGTGAGATGTATAGTGTGAGCACCAGCATCATCATTTTCAACAGTACACGTCCTGCTTCTCTCAAGTGATGTTCAATTCATATTTCCCACACCAAAACCTGAGGCTGCTTGGAATCTGCAGTGATGCCAAAAACCCACAGCAGCAAGTTAGAGATCTCTTGGCCACACTATAATTGGTGTTGGTGATTCACATGTGGGTTACATATCTTTTCTTCACTCTCAAGACCAGCCAAAGACACAGTTGTCATTGATGTGTATGGATGTGGACAAGAGCACAAGTCAGTAGCAGATGTAGTACAAAAAGACCAAGTGTTATGACCCTGGTCTGTCTCATAAGACAGTTGTCAATGTATGATTGTGTTGTCATCTGATCTTGTCTCTTTCTCTACACAGTTGCTACATCTGCCTCACTTTGACCTGCACAAAGAGAAGCAAGTGGGGGTTCAATTGAAATTGCAATCAAATCACACATGAGGAGAGTGGCAATTTGAGGAGCGATAAGTAAATTTGTGGTTATTAGAATGAATGAAATGGGAGAAGGTGGTAGTTGTTATGGCAGTCATTGCAGCAGTTCAGAGGTCTCATATGCTCATGGTGTGTCTGTCTTCATTGTGTGTGTGGGCGTGGACTTGTGGGCAAGTGTGGTAGGTGAAACAACTCTCCCTGGTGTTCAAAGGCCTCCCTTTTATGTTGCCCCCCCCAGTGCGCATAAATGTGCTTCATCATACTTTTTTGTGTGCTCATTCTGCCAGGTGAACCCATTTTACGGCAGACAAGCCTGAACCCTAACCCATGGGTGTATCCTTAAGGGTCCAGTTTGGGATGTTTTTGGGGTTGTGCTGGTTTCAAAAAAAAATTCTGAAAACAAACTATTAAAACAAATTTTCTCTTTTTTTCATTTTTTCTTCTGCGATCCGCGACCTGCGACCTGCGACCTAAAATTTGCGACCTGCGACCTGCGACCTGCGACCTAAAATTTGCGACAGCGACCCGCGACCGAAAATATGCGACCCGCGACCTAAAATTTGCGACCTGCGACCTGCGACCATAAATTTGCCACTTGCGACCACGGCGGAGAAGGTGCGAATGGAGTTCTCACCGACCGGACGGAGCCTGTGCCCGCTGGAGAAGATACGCGCCGCGCGCGTGGTCCAGTTCCAGAATTTGCATGCGTGCACTCGCTGCCCTCCCGACCATGTGGAATGTATCCTGCTCTGTAATAAATTACTTTATCATACGAGTACAGGGCTGTGGAGCTGCACTGCGGCTGCCCGTCGTCTGAGCATTCTCACCACCAATGCCACGGCAATGATCAGCAAGACTGCCCCGATCACCACCGGCACGGCCACAGACACGCCCACGATTACACCCGTGTT